CTCTGCTCATCAAACTTCGAAAGTTTCTGAAGTTCTCTATTGACTGTTTCAAGTGGTGTATATTCCAGAATTAGGTAGACTCTGGTGGCATCATGGAAATAACCACACAGTCTGATTATATCAGGATGTTGAAGGTAGGACTGTATTTCTACTTCTCTTCTGAGTTGATGCTCCAATCCTGCTTTCTCCAGCTGAACTTTAAATAACACTTTAAGAGCCAGAATAAACTTGCTTTGTTTTTCTCTTGCCAAATAAACATTACCAAACTTTCCTTTACCCAGAAGGTGACCAATTTCAAAGTCTTCCAAAGCCCATTGCCTCTTTTTGATTCTTCATTTTTCTGTTTTGATGCCAGTTCCTCCTCAGGATTATTTTCAGGTGCCGACAGCGGGGGCTGCTTGCTCTTTTGGGTGTTATTCAGTGGCCTGGAGACTGGATGAGGTACACTGGTTGCCTGCAATTGCTTCTACTTCTGATTCTGAACTGGCTTGTGACTGGAGACAAGCTTTTGTGCTTGCAAAGGAACACGCTGGGAAGAATTTGAAGGACACAAGACCCACTGAGCCTGGCCACTATTTGCAGGTAATGGATTCTGACAAGGAAATTGCTGAGTCACGAGAACATGTTTTGGACCTCCAACTGGAGATGTAGCCTTAACAGGCCCTGAAATGTAGTTTTCTTTAGATTGGTCCATGATGCCTGTGACCCTAGGACTTCAGTCTTCCAAGAGCTCAACCCAATAAAAGTACTTTTAAACTAACTGATACACCTCTATAATTCACAAGTAATTGGGGTGTTTTATGTTTTTACATATCCTCTAGAGATGAGCTGGGTTAAGAAATTAAAACTATATCAGCAAAAAAAATTTAAGATGATCTCATGATTTCTGCTTCCCAATAAACATTTATAACATTAATAAATAAAGTGAAGAAAAGCAAAGGCAAATACCATCAGCAGTTTAAGTCAGGTCCCATTTACCTGCTCTGCTAATTTCATTTTTTATCTGTAAAATTTCACTGTACAAAAGTTTACGTTCAAAACTCTTTATATTACGGCTTGGCCTAGCCTATCTTAAAAGTGCTCAGAACACTTACATTAGCCTATAGTTGGGCAAAATCTTCTAACACAAAGTCTATTTTATAAGGAAGTGCTGAAAATATCTCATGTAATTTCTTGAATACTGTACACTGTAGAGCACAGTCTCTCATATTTGCTGCTGCTACCCAGCATCACAAAAGAGTATCTTACCCATTGTATCACTAGCTCTGGAAAAGATCGAGGTGCAAAACTTGAAGTATGGTTTCTACAAAGTACACATTGCTTTCACATTACTGTAAAGCTAAAAAATTGGAAGCCAAACCATCATAAGTCTGAGATCATCTGTACAGGTTTTGCAAAGGGCCTCACTGGTGAAGAGGTCCATTCTGTTCATTTTCTACATGAACTGATCATAGCCACAATAATATCAACATACACAAACTCAAGAATTTGATTTAGAAGAGTAGTACATTAACCCGTATTTGTAAATCTATAGGTATAGTGCAAATTAATCTAGATGTTTGGGGTATATTTATATCCCCAACTGCCTGTGTAAGTTGGACACATATTCAATCTGTATGTACCTGAGTTTTAGCACCTATAATTGTGCCATACTATATTATAGCCATTAGCCACATTTGGCTACTTAAATTTAAATTAATTAAAATTAACTTGAATTTTAAAAATTCAGTTCCTCAGTTGCACTGGCCACATTTCAAAGGCTCAATAAACACATGTGCCTACAGGTTACCATACTGGACAGTAGAGATATAATGATGAAAATAAACAGGATGATATGATGGACAATAACAAGTGGGAACAAGAGGGTTGTACTGACTACTTTAGATCAGGTGGTCAGAAAAGGCTGCCCTGAGTTGACATTTGAGCTGAGACTTGAATGACAAGATGCAACTAGCATGCAAAGATCTGCAAAAAGCATCCAAGGCATAGACAACAGTGAGGGCAAAAACCTCAGCCACAAATGTGGTTGGCTGGTTTAACAACAAAAAAGGGTGTCTGAAGCATAAGAAATAAGGGGAGAGGTGTATAAGGTCCAAGAAATGGCAGGAAGCAGAGTCTCAAGGGCCTTATACACCATTTAAGAACTTTGGATTTTATGTTAAGTGCAATCAAAAACCATACAGGGTTATAAACAGGGCAATGTTAGGCTGGGTGCGGTGGCTCATGACTGTAATCCCAGCACTTTGGGAGGCTGAGGCAGGTGGATCACAAGGTCAGGAGTTCAAGACCAGCCTGGCCAACACAGTGAAACCCCATCTCTACTAAAAATACAAATATTAGCCGGGCATGGTGGCGCATGCCTGTAGTCCCAGCTACTTGGGAGGCTGAGACAGAAGAATTGCTTGAACCCGGGAGGTGGACGTTGCAGTGAGCCGAGATCATGCCACCGCACTCCAGCTTGGGCAACAGAGTGAGACCTCATATCAAAAAAAAAAAAAAAAAAAAAGAAAAGAAAAAAGGCAATGTTGTGATCTAAATTATGTCTTAAAAGCTCACTCTACCTACTGTTGAGAATTATTATGGGAAACCAAGAGTGAAAGCAGGAAGATCTGCTAGAAGAAGACACATATCATATCATAGCCCAGGTTGAGAAAAGATCATGGCCTGGACCAGGAGAGTGGTAGAGGGATAAAGAACATCTGTTCCTTTTTTCTACATTCCCTATCTACAATCCTGCATCTGCTATCCTTCACAGCCAAGCTCCTTGAAATAGTATACTTCACTTTTTAACCCCTTATCCTATAAATATGCTTTCTGCCTCCACTATCCTACTGAAACTGTCCTAAGGTCCAAATTACTTCCACCTTCCCAAAACCAATGAACACTTTTCTATCCTTTTCTTACCTGACCTCTGCTGCATTTGCAAAACTGCTGACTATTCCTCACCTTCATCAAGTTCTCGCCTTCCTCAGCTCCAAGGGCCTTACTCTCACCTGATTTTCCTCTTTCTTTTACTCCTTCTCAGTCTTCTTCCCAGTAACCTCTACTTGACTTTTAAACACCAGTGCTCCTCTAAGTTTACAGCTTTAGTACTCAGTGCATTTCACAACGTACATAATCCTTGAGACTGAATTTACAGTTTTTGCTGTTAGCTCCCCAATTAACGTCTCTGGCCCAGTACTCCCTACTGTTTAGACTATCTATATCTGGTGTTCAACCAGATGTCCTTACTTGGACATACTGTAAACATTTAAAATGAGAAAGGTTGAAAATCTGTATCCTTTATTCTCTTATTATATACACTTGTCCAAACCACAAGCCAAAGACTTCCTAAACTCCCCCTCACTTACTAGTTACAATGGCCATCACCAGACCTTCAGAAGGTCCTGCAGATTCTAACTCCTTTATGTCTTTCTAATCTAGTCCTTCATCTTTATCCTGCTAAGGTTCTTAATTCAAGCTCATATCATTTCTTGCTTGGATTACTGGAAGAGCTTCCCAATCCATTTCCCTTCTTCCAATCTCTCCTCCACTTTGCTACCAGAGCACATTACGGGTCCTCAACAAACGTTGTTGATTACATTAAGTACAAATCTGACAATGTCATTTCTCTACTTAAACTTTCAGAGAAACGCCACAACTTTCACAAGGCTTCTCATGGTCTAGCTCGTTATCACTATTACTGCCTTATTACCCCAATTCTTCCTCTCCCATCCTCCTCTCTAGCCACTCAACTTTTCTTAGTTCTCTAAATGCCATGCCATTTCAGTCCTTCCTCTGCACATGCTATTACCGCTCCTTTACTCCTCTAACTAGTACTTCAAAGGTAGGCTTAAGTATCACCACTTGAAGAAAATGCCTCACATCTATCTCAATCACATTGAATGGAAGTTAGTGATTTGTCTGTAAACCATAAGTTCCTAGAGGCAGGGTCCACCAACCTTATTTGGTTTGTAGCACCAATGACTGGCACAGAGTATGTAATCATTCACAGATGGGTTTGATTTGATATCTTCTAAATTTTTTTTTAAAGGGAGAAGAGCTTAGTGGGCCTTATATCACCGTTCCGGCATAGCACAGAGTGAGAACGCTGTACTACAAAGCCAAATGTGCTTCATGTTGGAAATGCAAAAATAAAATAAAATAAAACACAAGGCACACCCTTTCAAAAGACGAAATGTAGGAAATTCTGAGAGCCTATGTAGTATCTAAGAAACCAGCCTTGGAACTTTATACTACGTGGGGAAAGGCTTATTTAACACTTTGATGATAAAAATAGGTGGAAGGCTTCTCATCCCAATAAAGCAAATTAACCTTTCTTGGCTATGTCACTGTAATTTTAGTTCCTAATGTAGATTCTCGTTCACTTCCCGACAGGTTATTTTCCTTCTTTGAGAGACTCTTACCACCTTAAGAGTCACTCATTTGTCAGTCAGCCATTTGTTCTCAAAATCTGAATGGGGGAAACGCGGATGAAAGAAGGGAGAGTGTGGGGGGATGATCAACACTTTCGGAACGGGAGGTGGCAGAAGGCCACAGTCCCTGGGATGGAAGAGTGGGCGCTGGGGCAATACCAGAGTGGAGCGCTGACATGTGGCAAGGAACGGGGAGGATGCGATCACGGAGCAGGCAACATGAAACAAGGGACGACCCCAGGCTGAAGATGGGAGACCGAGAAGATACTCAGAGAGAAAGCTAGGAATGTGGGGGGAGGGGGGAGGGAGGAAGTGGTGATAGGCAGAGGCGAGAGGAAACGAGACGCAGTTTTGGGCCAGGGATCAGAGGGGCTGAGGAGAATAGCTGGGTCGAGAGGAAGACAACACAAATGGGGCTTCAGGACGAGGTGGGCAGGGGGTCATCCCGGAACAGAGGGAAGGCACGGGGAGAACTGGGGGTCCAGAGGGCAGAGGCAGGAGGCGCAGAGCGAGTAGGAGACCCGAACCCGCCGAGCAGAGGCCGCGGGTGACGGGGGAAGGAACGGCGAGGCGAGAGGCACTTACTGGGGTCCCTCCGCAAGGCGCCGCTGGGGATCTCCTCCCGCAGGTGAGGAAAGAGGAAGTCCCGGGCGGCCTGGAGATCCTGGAAGTAGCAGAACTGGACAATGGAGCAGGCCATGGCTCCGGGGAACCCCACTACGGCACTCACCTTACCTCACCACGCCCTGCCCCCTCCACCCCACTGCGGCCGCCGCCGAGCCCCAATAGCTCTAGCCAAGCAGAAGGCGGAGAAACCAAACCGGAAGCTGTCACTGACGGGTCCGCTGTCTCGGAGTACTGCGCAGGCGCAGGCTGGCCCAGGCGCCTAGGGAGGGCTGGCCCGGGTCACGTGACTAGGGCGCCGCTGCTGCAGGTGGAGCCAAAGTCTACGTGGAGTCTTGGGGCAGATTTTCAGTCCCAGTTCTGCGTCTACACCAAGGAATGAACCCTTTCATTCATTCTGGCTTTTAGCCAGAGGTGTTCTAATTGGACTTGTCCGCGCAGGCCTTTGACTCATTCAACCAATCTTATTGATGCCCTAATATTGGCACGATCTTGATGTTTCACAGAAAATAATTCGTTTTAAACTAGTGGCAGGCCAGTGGGGGACTGTATCCTGCAAGAGTCGGATTTTGAAAAGATTAATTGCTCTTCCGGAGATTAGCCCCGTCAAGGCTGGCTTTAAATGCTCCTGCTATAAATTTCCGTAGTACTATGCAAGCCCAATATAGTACGTGTTAAAGTGTATTATACTCTTATGTTTTCATTATTCATTTGGTTTTTCATTCATGCATTCATCCATCCATTCAACAAATATTTGTTAGTCTTTTAAATGCCAGCCACGCAGGGTGCTGAGCATTAGAGAACAAAAGAGAAGAAATACCTTTTCCCAGAAAGTTAGAATTCTAGTGACTGATACAGGCAGTAAGAAATTAATTACAGTAGTTCACTTTAATCCAAGGGGATATGTTCTAAGACCCCCAGTGGATGACTGAAACCATGGATAGTACTGAAACCTATGTATGTGTGTTATATTTTTACCTGTACATACATATGATAAAGTTCAATTTATAAATTAGGCACAGTGAAATATTAACAATAACTAATAATTAAAACGAATAATGTGGAAAATGAACCCATGGATAAAAGGGGGGACTACTGTACTCAACTACTTAACTGAAATTGTGATCATGCTAGTAAGTGCTTCATAAATATTTGCTGAAGAAATAAATGGAATGTGTACATAAAGTAAATAGAATAACCTGTTTCTTTTACAAAGCACTGTTTTTGAAAGTACTTTACATTGTCCATTTGGAAAGTCACAAATACCATCTAAAAATAATGTGTCTTATCTCATTTTTTAAATGAAGAAATTGAGTCGTCTCTGAGCAGACTTTAAGTTATTTTTCCAAAAAGTAAAAACAAAAAAATATATTTTAATGTGAGCACAAAGACCTGTAGGCACTTACACATTCCCCAAAGAAAACTTAAAGAGGCCATCCACTTTGTATGAGAAAATGGCACAGGAATAAATAGAAAGCAAGTGGATGGGGTCCAGAGCATCCATTTCTGTCTGTCCTGTGGACATACACACTTAGTCCTAATAATATAACAACTATAATTTAGTGCCTAGGTTCCTACTCCATTATTTCCTACTTCTAGAGTAGGATGCTTTTCACAAAATAGGGCAGGCAATTTCTATGTTATCAGGTTAACAGGAATCAGTTCTTCACCTATAAAAGGCAGTTGAATCAGATATGCTGTAAGGTCCCTTTAAGCATCAGGGACCTATACTTCTGTAATCAAAGCTTTCAGAAAAGGCAAGCTGCCGGTGCTCCCTTCTTCCATCTGAAGAAATGCAATGTTTCCTCAGATCATCACTAACTAGAATAATCCAGCCCTGATATGATTATTCCCTAAAGTCCAGCACCAATCCCAAACTAAACTAAAGTTTAAATTTAGATTCTTAGTGTTACTGGATGAATAATGAACACATGACTCTTTCTGGAAGGGGACTGTCATTCCTTGAAAACCGTTCAAGTTCCTATTCAGGTAAATGCATTTTATGGAAGTAACCGCTGTTGGCTGATTCTGCTGGCCTTTGTTCTGCCCTGAGGCATTCATATGTCTCCTGTGGTGGTCATTGAATTTCATTACTGTGTTGGCTCAGTTTTAATGGTGAAGTCCCTGACTTCCTTCCAAGTACTGTTGAAAGGGTTCATTCATGGATGTTTTTAAGGACTTTAGATACCCTTCACAGAAATTACAACACATTCATGAACTGAACTCTTCCCCCAGGAAGTTGTAACGCTGCAGGGGAGATGCCTCTGGAGTTCTGCTACCATGGTTTCTGTAGCATGTGGGAGGATTGCATCAGACAGTGAATATCACTTATTCCACAGTCATAAGAAAGCACATTGCAAAAATGTGCAGGCCTTACATATCCCAGCATTGACAGTGTCTTTCTGAGGTCTGGGTTCAGGAGGTAGGAAAAGCACTGTGACCAAAATAACAGCAGGATGAGTCCAGGTACTAATGTGAACATCCTCCATTATCCATTAGTGTGAGTCAGAGCACTGATGACTGCTGTTAAGAGAGAGATGTGTGCTCATTTTCTCTTGCCACCACCATGTAAGAAGAGCCTTTCATCTCCTGCCATGATTCCGAGGCCTCCCCAGATATGTGGAACTAGTGATACAGAGATGTGACCCAACATATCTACCTACAGGGAGGAGGTGTGGTTTTTACTGGAATATACTGGCAAGCAAAAGTTCTCTCCTTTTGGCTTTCTGCCTGCTTCTGAAACACATTCCTTTCCAGGAATGTGTGCTTTCTGAGGTAGACAAAAGAAGAGTTGTTCAAGTTAATAAAAAGGTCAAGGGGTGGCGCCAAGATGGCCAAATAGGAACAGCTCCAGTCTGCAGCAACCAGCGTGAACAACACAGAAGACAGGTGATTTCTACATTTCCAACTGAGGTACCAGGTTCATCTCACTGGGGCTTGCCAGACAAGTGGGTGCAGCCCACGGAGCAGGGCAGGGCATCGCCTTACCTGGGAAGCCAAGGGGTCAGGGAATTCCCTTTCCTAGCAAAGGGAAGCCGTGACAGACAGCACCTGGAAAATCAGGACACTTCCACCCTAATACATCACTTTTCCAACAGGCTAAAGAAGAGTTGTTCAAGTTAATAAAAAGGTCGAGGGGTGGCGCCAAGACGGCCGAATAGGAACAGCTCCAGTCTGCAGCTCCCAGCATTAACAATGCAGAAGACGGGTGATTTCTACATTTCCAACTGAGGTACCAGGTTCATCTCACTGGGGCTTGCCAGACAAGTGGGTGCAGCCCACGGAGCAGAGCAGGGCATCGACTCACCCACCTAATTGGGGAATTCCCTTTCCTAGTAAAGGGAAGCCATGACAGCACCTGAAAAATCAGAACACTCCCACCCTAATACATCGCTCTTCCAATGACCTTAGCAAAAGGCACACCAAGTGATTATATCCCGCGCCTGGTTCGAAGGGTCCCACGCCCGTGGAGCCTCGCTCACTGCTAGCACAGCAGTCTGAGATCGAACAGGGAGGCTGGGGAAGGGGCATCCACCATTCCACCATTGCTGAGGCTTGAGTAGGTAAACAAAGCAGCTGGGAAGCTCGGACTGGGTGGAGCCCACCTCAGCTCAAGGAGGCCTGCCTGCCTCTGTAGACTCCACCTCTAGGGGCAGGGCACAGCTGAACAAAAGGCAGCAGAAACTTCTGCAGATTTAAACATCCCCGTCTGACAGCTTTGAAGAGAGTAGTGGTTCTCCCAGCATGGAGTGTGAGATCTGAGAATGGACAGACTGCCTCCTCAAGTGGGTCCCTGACCCCCGAGTAGCCTAACTTGGAGACATCTCCCAGTAAGGGGTCGACTGACACCTCGTAAGACCAGGTGCCCCTCTGAGATGAAGCGTCCAGAGGAAGGAACAGGCAGCAACATTTGCTCTTCTGCAGCCTCCACTGGTGATACCCATGCAGACAGGGTCTGGAGTTGATCTCCAGCAAACTCTGACAGACCTGCAGCTGAGGGTCCTGACTGTTAAAAGGAAAACAAACAAACGGAAAGGACATCCACACCAAAACCCCGTCTGTACGTCACCATCATCAAAGACCAAAGGTAGATAAAACCACAAAGATGGGGAGAAACCAAAGCGGAAAAGCTGAAAATTCTGAAAATCAAAGTGCCCTTTTCCTCCAAAGGAACTCAGCTCCTCGCCAGCAATGGAACAAAACTGGATGGAGAAATACTTTGACAGTCGAGAGAAGAAGGTTTCAGATGATCGGTAATAACAAACTTCTCTGAGCTAAAGGAGGATGAACCCATCGCAAAGAAGTGAAAAACCTTGAAAAAAGAGTAGACAAATGGTTAACTAGAATAAACAGTGTAGAGAAGTCCTTAAATGACCTGATGGAGCTGAAAACCATAGCACGAGAAGTATGTGACGCATGCACAAGCTTCAGTAGCAGATTTGATCAAATGGAAGAAAGGGTATCAGTGATTGAAGATCAAATGAATGAATTGAAGCGAGAAGACAAGTTTAGTGAAGAAAGAGTAAAAAAAAAAAAAAAAGAACAAAGCCTCCAAGAAATATGGGACTATGTGAAAAGACCAAATCTGCGTCTGATTTGTGTACCTGAAAGTGAAGGAGAGAATGGAACCAAGATGGAAAACATTCTTCAGGACATTATCCAGGAGAACTTCCCCAACCTAGCAAGGCAGGCCAATATTCAAATTCTGGAAATGCAGAGAATACAACAAAGATACTCCTTGAGAAGAGCAACTCCAAGACACGTAATTGTCAGATTCACCAAAGTTGAAACAAAGGAAAAAATGTTAAGGGCAGCCAGAGAGAAAGGTCAGGTTACCCACAAAGGGAAGCCCATCAGACTAACAGTGGATCTCTCGGCAGAAACTCTACAAGGCAGGAAAGAGTGGGGGCCAATATTCAACATTCTTAAAGAAAAGAATTTTCAACCCAATATTTCATATCCAGCCAAACTAAGCTTCATAAGTGATGGAGAAATAAAATACTTTATGGACAAACAAATGCTGAGAGATTTTGTTACCACTAGGCCTGCCCTACAAGAGCTCCTAAAGGAAGCATTAAACATGGAAAGGAACAACCAGTACCAGCCACTGCAAAAACATGCCAAATAAGACCATTGATACTAAGAAGAAACTGCATCAAATATTGAGCAAAATAGCCAGCTAACATCATAATGACAGGATCAAATTCACACATAACAATATTAACCTTAAATGTAAATGGACTAAATGCTCCAAATAAAAGACACAAAATGGCAAACTGGATAAAGAGTCAAGACCCATCAGTGTGCTGTATTGAGGAGACCCATCTCATGTGCAGAGACACACATAGGCTCAAAATAAAGGCATAGAGGAAGATCTACCAAGCAAATGGAAAACAAAAAAAGCAGGGGTTGCAATCCTAGTCTCTGATAAAACAGACTTTAAACCAACAAAGATCAAAAGAGACAAAGCAGGTCATTACATAATGGTAAAGGGATCAATTCAACAAGAAGAGCTAACTATCCTAAATATATATACACCCAATACAGGAGCACCCAGATTCATAAAGCAAGTCCTGAGAGACCTAAAAAGAGATTTAGACTCTCACACAATAATAATAGGAGACTTTAATACCCCACTGTCAACATTAGACGGATCAATGAGACAGAAAGTTAATAAGGATAGCCAGGAATTGAACTCAGC